TTACAATCTTGTAGCAGTTAGTTATTCTCGATCTTTTAACTATCCGAGTCAAAGATAAGAAGAGATTAATTAAATTATAAATATGGTTATTTATATGATCCGTATAATGCATCAGTCTATAACCAATACACTCATTTATTTTCATTCTCTACACCATCTTTGCACCCTTTAAAAAACTATGGGGGTATAGTAGGCTGTGAGTCGGTTTAAACTTGAGGTAATCGAGATTTTTATTATTAACTTATTTTTTTTTCTAGATTAATGGATTCACAAGTACAATAATTAAACTCATCACTAACTGTTTTATTTAATTATTAAGACACTATGAACACCATCGTCTTGTTGTCTCTTTGTAACAATAAAAAAAAGCCTAGCAACATTGCATGGTTATTAAAAATAACAACAGGAAAGCTATGTGATTCATGGTTTTGATTTTTTTTTAAATGGGAAAGGCCATGGTAAAAGTCGTGCAAAAATAACAATCAAGTCATGTCAGCACTCAAAAAATTATTACACCCTAACAATGGTTCATTTAAAATCTTGACATCCTGATTATCTCTAAGGACATGTCGAGTGAGCCAACCTACACAGCTATTGGCAAAATCAAAACTTATACAAATAAGTTTGGTAAAATTTGATTAGAAACTCCTCGTACAGTGATTTCTTCTTTGTTTGTGTGTGATAGGCTGGTTTGGAATGGAAAGTGTGATGGTGGCATATCAAAGACAATGAATAGGCTTTCAAGAACTTGTTCACTCTCAATTGTAATGTTTAAAAAATCAATTAACTATAATAATTATATTTAAAAATAAAAAATTTGATTGAAATATTATATGCTAAATCAATATAAGCATACATTAATTGTTTCTCATTCATGTAAATTATGAAAGGTAATTTAAAAAATTTATGATAAATACTTATTAAGATGTGTGATTTTGTTTGTTAAAAAAATGAAAGTGATAGCTTAATGAATAAAAATAAAGAGAATATGGTGAATTTGAACAAAAATAGAGGAATGAAAATTCATGAGATTAATTTGTTCCTTTTCTTTCAATGAATGAGCATGTCTACGAGATAAAGGCAAAATTAAAGTAAGTTTATTTTTAAATAGGTCTTGCAAAATTTAAAAGCCATGGCCAGGTCACTTGAGTGTAATTTGAAATCAGGTTGCAAAGATGATAATACTCTTATTAAAAATATATTACATTAATTAAGCAATTTACAATTAATTTGTCAATAATGTATAACTATTATTTCAGCTTTTTGAAAAATAAAAATTCACATATCTAATAGTTAAACTAATTATGCGTTGCAAGTTTAACATGAATCGTATATAATTATCTCATTAGTAATTTATAACTATCAATTCAATATTTTATAACTATAACTTCACATATCTAATAGCTAAATGGACCACGTATTACTAATAAGCTTAACACGAAGTGTTTACAACTACTTTATCGGTAATTCACAGCTATCATTGTAACTTTTTACAATCATAACTTCACAGATTCAGTAGTTAAATTAATAATGCATTTTTAGTAATTATATAATCACTCAAACCAATTTTATTCTCTGTAACTTTTTCCTCATAATTGAACTCGGTCTCTCTCTCTTGACCAAAAAAAAATTGTATCTAGCAAAGGCTGCAAAACAAAAGTTCAAGCCTTTTTGCAAATTGTCAAATCTCTTCTCAATTAAATTGATGAAAAATTAAACTAAATAATAAAATCTTACTAGTTGATTTAGTTATGGCCTTTAGCATGTAGAGCAAGTATAAGAACAAGGACAAGTAGTGTTGATCGTAATCGATTGCAATGATGGAATTGCATGTATAAACAAGGCAAAGAGAGTTGATCACTGACAATTCCATAGGCTTGAATTGATGAGGAAGAACTAGGCAGAGAGCATCAATCACAATGCCATATGGTGAATAAGAAGAAGGAGGAGGAGAGAAAGAAGAACACGACAAATTGATTGTGAATGTGAATGAATAAAGCATGCATAAGGTCTAATTGAGGAAGACATGCATCTTTGTCATTATAACCTAATTAAGTAAATGTAATAGTGTCTTTATACTCTAAAATTTCAAATTACATTCTGATCCCAATGAACTTGATTATGATTTTTAAATTTTACAATATTCATTTATAAATAAGTTTACTTCATAGAAATTGGATGTAATTTTTCTTGAAATAAATTATATTCATAGGCTATGAATCAAGATTAGGGGTTGTTAAGTAATGGATCCACCAAAGCTAGTTTAAACCTTATCTTCAACTTCAACTTGGAGTTGATGGGAAGTTGAGAACCATCCGATTTTTACGTCATTTTGGCCTTAACTTCCATTTGATTGACAATGAGTTCTTGGACTAGGCATGATATTGATTCACTGATCTTGTGATTGAATTGGCCAATTTGGTTTGATTTTCTCAATTTTAACGTCTGATGATATGTTGAAAGAGTTCGATGATTTATCACACAGGGATAAATGTAATTTATCTAGGCATTGAAATCTATGTTTTATTGAAAATAAGTTGAATAAGCAATGGCAATAAATTATACTATGTTAAGATATTGTTTGAATAAGGGTAAAGTTTTCTTAAGCGGACAAAATAAGGTGAATTTACAAAAACAACTTTCTTTGATTTTAAGTGTAAAAATTGGTTGAGGTGTTTGTTTTGAATATAAATGTAGGACCTTGATTTGCTTTACCTTATATTTTTATGCAGACTCTTCTCTAATTACATATCTCAATTTAAAAAATTCTATTAAGTATACATGCACAATTAAAGGCAGTTTGAGAAAAATATTAGGGAGTATTGGTAAAAAGGATGAAGTTGAAAAAGAAATTGCACCCAATGACTAAATTAAATATTTTATTTATTAAACAATATAAACAAATCAATGAAATGCCTCTTCGTTTAAACCAATGAAATTTAAAAAAATGCTACATGTTTAACACGTGCACCTTAAATCAAATCCTTTACACCTTAAGCCAGATCTCTTGCACCAAAACCAAAAGTGTTGCACCGTAGCCATAAACCTTGCACTTCAAGCTAGAAGCCTTGCACCCCAATTTAGATCAAATAACCAAAATGCCTTTTATGTTGACTAAAAATAAATTCAGAAAAAGGCACAAAATTCAGCCTCTAGATGCCGAAGCTTCGGCCACTCCTCCAACAGTTGATGGTGCACTTGTTGAAAAGTGTCATCGAAAAAATTCAACACCTTTTGATTGCATGCAATCATTAAGGATTACATACAAACTCAACAACCAAAGGGTATAAGTATTTTGGCTTATGGTGCATAGTTTATGGCTCGGGATGCAAAGCTTCTTCTGGCTACAGTGCAAGACTTTATAGCTTCAGTGCCAGGGATCTGGCTTGAAGTATAAAGGATTTGACTTAGGATGCGTATGTTGAACATGCAACCCCTTTTTTCCCCCCAATTTCATTGGTTTAAACAAATGAGCATTTCAGTCATTTGGTCAGATTATTTAATGAATAAGATATTTAGTTTGGTCCTTGAATTCAACTTAATTCAACTTGTTCCTTGAGCATAATTTCTCTTTTAACTTGGTCATTTTCACCAATTCTCCCAAAACATAATTAATTGTATTTTGAAAAACTAAAAACACCCTAATTTTTTGAATCTAATATTGCAAAAAAAGTGCTTTACAATTTTTAACAGAAGCAGCCCAATAAATATCTTAAATAGGTATAGTACTTGTTAATCAAGTCTATTATTATATTATTAAATTATATCAAGGCTTCATCGTCGACTGTACCTTACCCTCTTTTTTTTTTTTTTAATTCAAACTGAAAACTACAATACAACAACCAGATAAGTTACACAAGAGTATTATTCAATCTTTATTTAATTATTATAATGTGGTGGTGGATGATCAAAGGAAAAAAATGCCAATCTTACTAGATTTTATTTTAACTTATCATCATCACTATCATTCATTATCATATGTAGTGCCAGTAACAGTCTATTATAAAATTGAAAACATCAAATTCTTATTGATCTTATTTAATTACTGTGACTCCCCTTGTTCATATGATTAAAATCTTTAATCCTTGTTGGTTAAAAAATCATTAATCCTTAATTTTGATTTAAAACAAAGAACAAGGCAATTTTATTTTATAGCGTGAACTGCTAAGCATAGAGGGATAATAACTCAAAAAGTTTGGTTTAAAGATAATATTTTTAAATATTTTAATCTTATTAAAATTTGTGAAAAATGTTAAAAACATAACAAAATTATATAATAAAAAATATAAACAGGAGCCACGGAAATTAATAACAATTAGACCTGGCATTTTTTTAAAATTAAAACATCAAAACTTAAAAATATAGAAAAGAAGATGAGGGTAGGAGACAAGCTTTGAAATTAGAAAGCTATTTTGGCAAATAAAAAGTTTGTGCTTGCCATCTTCATCACATATGACTCATATTCATAATGTCATTAGAGATTAATTTATATATTATCACTTTTAATAATTATTTCAAAATTAATGTTTGTTATTTAAAAACTAAATCTTTTTCTTTTATTAAATTTATTTGGATAAGATATATTGAGCTATTTATTTACGTAAATTAAATTATTAATATTAATATAATTTAAATTTTTATAATTAATCAGATGTATAATTTAAATAATATATTTTAATTCTAAAATAAAATTTAATTAATTTAATAATATTAAATACAAATTTATTAATTTTAAAAATAATATTTTTATGATAATTTATATAATTAAAATTAATTATGACTAAATTATTTAAATATTTTTAATTTTATTAAAATTAATTTTAAAAAAAGTTCAAACAAATTACATTATAATATAATTAATTATAATTAAAATTAATTACAATTAAAATTAATTACGTTAATCAATTATTTTTATGCTCAACCAAAAATCCAAACGGCGGGTTGTAGTTACGGGGAAAAAAATGCGTAGTCCATTCGCAGAATCAAAATTGTTTTGCTTCCCCGCCACGGTCAGTAATTAAAACCTTCACAAAACCCTACTTAGTTTTCGATATCATCTCTCTTCGAGCTCTGCTTCTTTCTTCTCTTCCCCGAAATATGAACAGAGTTCCGATTTCGGTTTTTCGGGGAACCAAACGCAAATTCAGATAGAGTTGGACTTGCAGCTCAGTTCCGCTGCTGCTTTACTTAGTGCTGTGTGACCCTTATCGGGATGTCTTGGGAAGACGAGATTGTGATGCGTGATGTCACAAATGCGGGTCTCGTTGTGAGCGATCGCATTGGGCGAGAAGTTGCGTTGCAACTCGACCTCGAAGAATCGCTAGAAGCCTCAAGATATGCTAGTCATCCTTATTCTGCTTACCCAAAAGAGGTAACTTGTGCATTTCCCTCTGACGTTAGAAAGTTTCAAGTTTTTAATGTCAGCATTGAGCTTTATACTCTGTTTATATCGATAATAAAGGACGGTTTACTGTATGCTATAAATTCCCCAGCCGTGGGATCAACTTGAGTCTTTTATTTTCTTGCAAGAAGTGTGAACCCTTTGAAATATTCCAAGCTATCACTACAGCGTGAAGCAATAATATGCTTATACATGTAAATGATCCGAACGATTATATGAATATTTTATGTTTGTGTTGACTGTTTAGTGCAATGTAAATATCACATTGATTTCACACACACACACACACATTAAATACAACTGATTTCCAAAAAGAAAGACAGCAACATATATTAAATCGTTGAAAAGTTTCTTGACGCAAATGCATTGATTTAATTGTCTATCATATTGATACAAACAAAAAATGCATTAACAACAACAATTTAGAGAAGTAGATGACAATGCAAGGCCTTTGTATAAAAAGTTTGATAGGGTTGTTTCAAAGATGATTGAGGAGAGGTGAAAGGGACTGGAACGGAGAGGCAGTTGGAGATGTTCACAGGTTTGGGTGCCTATAAAATGACAGAGAAAAATTATAAAGCTGTGACTTGTGACACAATCATGCACTTGCTTTGTAGAAGCTACTTGTGGCTTCCCTATTATCTATTGAACGATATTGTGTATAGTTCTCCCAACGAGTCTATGGAATGCATTTTTAGTTACTCAGAATGCTTGCAGTCTTGTGATAATTCTTAATGTTTAACCAAATATAAAAATTCTTAGCATACTGCTCACTCAATAATCTTCATGTAGAGTGTTATTTTCCGAGACAACTCAAGGGAAAATAGAACTTGTGTGGCAATCAAGGTTCTGCAATGTTTCACATGATTGATGAGTTATCCCTTTTATTTTCTTGGAAATAATCTTATATATATATATTTGGATGAAGGGTATATGTTTATGTTCCTTGTTCAAGTTCTGTCTACTGTGCATGTTCTTAAAGATGCATAAAGCTTTGGATGCTCACTTATACACTTTCACTCTACCTCTCTGTAAGTAACATAACGTTGCTCTTATTTTGATGATTTCATAACTTATTCTGTGTGAGTATAATACTCACGATATGATTATTGATGTGGAGAGTAGAGACTAGAGAATGTCTCTTAGCATAACTGTCGAGGGATGAAGTTTGGTTTTACCATGAACCTCAGACATATCATGTTATTTGATTCTATTTCAGTGGCCCTCTTTAGTTGAGGTAGTGGATACTCGGGAGTTGCCTCCTGTGCTTATTGAGAGATACAATGCGGCTGGTGGGGAAGGAACTGCTTTATGTGGAATATTTCCAGAAATTCGCCGGGCATGGGCATCTGTGGACAATTCCTTGTTTCTTTGGCGTTTTGATAAGTGGTGAGGATCTTGACGATGAGTTAGCATTTCACTATAAAATTAATTTATAGTCTAAGATTACATAGAAAAACCAATGCTCATATACTTTTTATCTTTTAAATGCTAAGTATAACTCAATATCAATAAACTAAAATGCAATTGCTGTATTAAGAGGAGATTTTCCACCAGTACATTCTTTAGTAAAATTTAAGGTAATATGCCTTGCTGTTTGTTGAGCCTCACAGCACGGATAAATTGTTCATCTAGAAGTCAATTCTGAGGAAGAGCAAGTCTTGCTTTGTTGGCTTTATGTATCAAAGTATATGACACGTAATTATTTTTCTTTCATGTCCTGTGTTATAATTTCAAGATGTTTGCTGTTGTAATATTTCTGTCCTTTAGTTGTTGAAGCTTTGGAGATTAAATATTAATGGATGGAAATCTCTGTCCGTTTATTTTTACATTCCCAGCATTTTTTTATTCAGAGTGGTTTTTTTTTTTGGGTGTGTTTGGTGATCTTAGTGATGTCCTCAAAGTTTATTGTGCATTCTATCGTTGGTTTCAGCACTTTTGCTTAGAGTATGGTCAAAGCCACTTTTTTTAAAGGGATAATGACATTTGGGTCCCTTGTAAGAGAATTATTGACACCTTGATCTCTGAACCCATGATCCTTTTGTCATTGGCAGCTATGGTATGCTATATTAACAACTTTTTTTTTTAAGTAGGGACCAAAATATTAATAATTCCCTTCTAAGGGATCACAACTTCCTTTTTTAGAGTATAAGTTATTATGTTGGTTTGGTGAGGGGAATTGAATTTTTTGACCCCTCTCTTATTAGTGCAAACAATGTCACCTAGATCAATGGGTTATTGGTCTTCTTAATTGCAGCTGAAGTGAAGTGAGTGAAAGTGGCGGCTTGTTAAATTGCTTGCATAAGAGTACTAATTTCAGCAACTATGTGTAGTTGCGGCTAACTTGTTGACAGTTGTGGATGTCCAGCAACCGTGAAGGATAAATTATATGTTTATACTTGAACAAGGATAATTGAATCTTTGTATGCGCTTTATTTCTTATAATTTAACGCTGCTCCTTCCTTAGGGATGGCCAATGTCCTGAATATAGAGGGGAGGAACAAGCTATTTGTGCTGTTGGTCTTGCAAAATCAAAGCCAGGGGTCTTTGTTGAAGCTATCCAATATCTTTTAATTTTAGCAACACCTGTGGAGGTATTAATTTCTTTTGCTTTAGTTCTCATGCAATGGCTTTCTATGTGCTAAACATTTATGCTTCTGAACTGGTTATTTTGTTATATTCTTAATTTCTTATCTAGTACCTGAGCATCATCCTATCTATGTGTGTTTCATTCAGACAATTGTACTGACAACTTGAAGTCTATGTTTCTTCATTGGTTTGAAAAATTGCTGGATTCTTCATAAGAGAAAGGGTGGTGAACTTTGAGTCTTTTTTGGTTATGTTTACTGTTTTCATTTTCATTGAAAACAGAAAACATGACTGAGAATGCAATTGGTTGAGTTTAGAAGAAAATATCTTTGAAAGCAATTTCTAAAATACGGTCTAAACTTTTATTATAAAAGAAACTATTATGTCAAACATGTCTTTAAAGTCAAAATAACCTCACAATTATAAATAGTCAAACTCCTAAGTTAAGTAAAAATTGCTCGTTTATTTAAATTTGATTGATTAGGAAAAGATGAGTAGATTTTTAATTTCACAACAAAAACAAGATCACTAATCCCACTAGGTGGGGTCATTAACATGGGTCGTATTACACCATTGTGCTCTATCAATAGTCAACTCCTTAGATTTTTAATTTCACAAGCCAAAAAATTTTCGAATAATGGGAGTTTGCAAATGAAAATAAATTTTTAAGAGACAACTTGAGAATGTTGAAACTAAACACGTTCTTTGCTTAGGAATGTAGTGGTTTGATCCTACATATTTTATTACATTGACTCAAAAAAATAGGCTATGGTCTCGGGTTGTTGAAAGTGGAGGTAATCATCTGGTGGTAACAGGCTTGGATTCCATTTTACACCAATGAGAAAAATCCATTAAAGGAAATCTAAGAAAATAACTTTTTAGAAGCCTTTGCAGTTATTGTGGGCATTCTGCCTGCTTTTCATTTGAATAATAAAATAAGTTCTTTCCAATAGTATATTTTGATCTATACTCTTATAGCATAATTACTTTTTATGAAAATATATTTTTTAATTTGATTGTTTTTCCTAGTAAATTATATATTTGCTGCTATGTTATGCATGACAGTGCATCATACTTGAGATTTGAGAAATCCTTGTTCTTCATCAACCATATATTCTGTATGACAATATGTGACTTGTTTTTGAGTCATATGAATATGAACCATGTTCTTTCTACACCTCATTCTGAGGACAGCCTAGTTTCTTACCTGAATTTTGTGTCAGTTGATTTTAGTAGGAGTGTGCTGCTCTGGAGGAACAGATGGTTCAGATCCATTTTCTGAAGTTTCATTACAGCCTTTGCCTGATTATACCGTACCATCTGATGGTATCACAATGACTTGTGTGACATGTACTGATAAGGGTCGAATTTTCCTTGCTGGTCGTGATAGCCATATATATGAGCTTCTTTATTCCACTGGCTCAGGCTGGCAAAAACGTTGTAGAAAAGTCTGCCTCACTGCTGGTTTGGGAAGCGTCATTTCAAGGTTCTTTGTGCTCTGTAATATTTCACATGGATATGGACAATATTATTCTTGCACTTGGTTGTGCTCGCTTCTTTAATTTTGAAATCACATGGTAAAGTCTTAAACATGCAAACGGGAATTTTATTGAGGAACAATCTATTAGAAAGGAGCAAGCAAGGATCCCACTTTTCCTCTCTAGTAGCTGAGGGGGATCTCCAAAATGCTAGTAACAACTATCAACCCTAAGCCACAAAAAGAACCTAATAAGACTAAGGAAATAAAATATAACATGACTGAGATGAAACATCCTAAAATAATGCTAAGTGGTTAAATGGCTTAGTTTGTGGCTTAGTCACGTGCGTTATCCTCTTCCCCATGATCTCCACTTCTTTTGCTACCCATTTCTCAAATCTGTTCAGTATCATGACCTGCATCATGAGTTCCTTCTTCCAATCTACTATGTGCCATGCACTGAGAGTAGGTAGGTAGTGGCCGCTTATAGTCTTATCACCATATATATATATATATATGCAGTGAAATACATTTTTGCATCTTCATGTTTGTCTGCATAATGCATAATTCCTTAGTAAGCCAGTCTTATCTGTTGTTTCCAGATGGGTCATACCAAATGTATTTAATTTTGGAGCTGTTGATCCAATTGTTGAAATGGTTTTTGATAATGAGAGGCAAATATTGTATTCACGAACTGAAGAAATGAAGCTTCAGGTTTATGTTCTTGGACCTAATGGTGATGGTTCATTAAAGAAAGTGGCTGAAGAAAGGAATCTCGTCAGTCAGAGGGATGCACATTATGGAGGTAGACAATCATCAGGACCAAGAACCTCAAGTCGATCACCAAAGCCATCTATTGTTTGTATCTCACCTTTGTCTACACTTGAATCAAAGTGGTTACATCTTCTTCTTGTTCTATCAGATGGTAGAAGGATGTACCTATCTACCTCTCCTTCTAGTGGAAGCTTGAGTGGGTTCAACAATAACCATCATAAGCCAAGCTGTTTAAAGGTTGTCACAACAAGGCCCTCTCCTCCTTGGGGTGTTAGTGGCCTTGCCTTTGGAGCTGCATCTCTTGCAAGTAGACCTCAGAATGAGGATCTCTCCCTGAAAGTTGAGTCAGCCTATTATTCTGCTGGGACTCTTGTCCTTTCTGATGCATCTCCACCAAGCATGTCTTCACTCCTTGTTTTGAACAGAGATTCAAGCATGCACTCATCCGTGTCAGGAAATTTAGGGACAACCGTGAGAAGTTCTCGGGCATTGCGGGAATATGTATCTTCTTTACCAGTCGAAGGTCGAATGCTTTTTGTGGCAGATGTCTTACCCTTGCCAGAGATTGCATCTACACTTCAGTCTCTATATTCAGAAATAGAGTTTGGTGGATATGAGAACTCAATTGAGTTATGTGAAAGGGCTTCTGGCAAACTTTGGGCAAGGGGTGACCTCTCAACCCAAACTATATTGCCAAGGAGGAGAATTGTCATCTTTAGCACTGTGGGCATGATGGAAATCGTTTTTAATAGGCCAGTGGACATTCTAAGACGGTTGTTTGAGTCAAACTCTCCAAGATCAATTTTAGAAGATTTCTTTAATCGTTTTGGTGCTGGAGAGGCAGCTGCTATGTGTCTAATGCTAGCTGCAAGAATAGTGCCTTCCGAAAATCTTATTAGCAATGTTGTTGCTGAAAAGGCAGCTGAAGCTTTTGAGGACCCAAGACTTGTTGGAATGCCACAACTTGAAGGTACTAGTGGATTATCAAACACAAGAACTGCAGCCAGTGGATTCAGTATGGGCCAGGTTGTCCATGAGGCTGAGCCAGTGTTTTCAGGTGCACATGAAGGGCTCTGCTTGTGTTCATCAAGGTTACTTTTTCCTGTGTGGGAACTTCCTGTATTGGTTGTAAAAGGTACCTTAGGTCCTTCAGGAACTTTGGCAGAAAATGGGGTGGTTGTTTGTAGACTCTCTGTTGGGGCTATGCAAGCCCTTGAGAACAGAATTCGATCTTTAGAGAAATTCTTACGGTCTAGAAGGAACCAGAGGAGGGGACTTTATGGTTGTGTTGCGGGGTTAGGAGATCTAAGTGGTTCCATTCTTTATGGTAATGGCTCTGCATTAGGTGCTGATGATCGGAATATGCTAAGAAACTTATTTGGTGCATATTCAAGAAATATGGAATCCAGTGGTGGTGGAACATCCAATAAAAGGCAACGATTGCCATATAGTCCTGCAGAACTGGCTGCCATGGAGGTAGACTGATGTCTAAAACATTTTCCCTTTGTTTGATATGTTTATAATTCATTTTAGTCTCTCACTTCTGTTTGGTGTGTTGCAGGTGAGAGCAATGGAATGCATTAGGCAGTTACTTCTTAGATCTGGTGAAGCGCTGTTTTTGCTCCAACTTCTTTCTCAGCATCATGTAACCCGGTTGCTTCAGGGATTTGATAGTAACCAACAGCAAGCGCTGGTTCAGTTGACGTTTCATCAACTTGTTTGTTCTGAAGATGGTGATCGTCTTGCTACGAGACTTGTATCTGCTCTGATGGAGGTAAAGCCAGTTTAGGGAAGCCATAAAGGAGATTTCATGCACATAAATTTTAACTTTATACATCTTTATACATCCACTAAGGTTTTCTGGAATAAAATTTTGCATCATCTGCAATTCTGATTTTAATCTTACATCATGCATTGCTCCAGTATTACACTGGTCCTGATGGCAGGGGAACTGTAGATGATATTAGTGGGAGATTAAGAGAGGGCTGTCCAAGCTACTATAAGGAGTCTGATTACAAGTTCTTCTTAGCTGTGGAAGCTTTGGAGAGAGCTGCTGTGACTATAGATGTCAAGGAAAAGGAGAATCTGGCAAGGGAAGCATTCAATCTCTTAAGTAAAGTTCCAGAGTCTGCTGATTTACGGACTGTTTCCAAGCGATTCGAGGATTTAAGGTGATTTTTCTTTTCTTATTCCTCCCACCCCCTGTTTACAGATAAAATATCATTTCCTCTGATTGGAGAGCCTTCTATCTGACTCTGAGTCAAATTTACCTGGGGATTGCAGATTTTATGAAGCTGTGGTGCGCTTACCTCTTCAAAAGGCACAGGCTCTGGATCCTGCAGGTGATGCTTATAATGATGAAATTGATGCATCTGTCAGAGAACAAGCACTTGCAAAGCGTGAACAATGTTATGAAATAATTATAAATGCTTTGCGGTCTCTGAAGGGAGGTGCGCCCCAGAAGGAATTTGGTTCCCCCATCAGATCTGCTGCTTCACAATACACTCTTGATCCAGCCTCTCGGAAAAAATATATATACCAGATAGTTCAACTTGGTGTCCAGTCGCCTGATCGAATTTTCCATGAATATTTATACCAGGCTATGATTGATTTGGGTCTTGAGAATGAGTTGTTAGAGTATGGAGGTCCTGATTTGCTGCCCTTTTTGCAAAGTGCTGGTCATGAAGCTACGCAAGAGGTTGCCAACATTTTCTCTCTCTTAATTTATTCTTGAATGCTTTCTCCTAGCTTAGTTAAACGCATCAAAGGGCGCAAATACAAGGCAATAAATTTTGTGCTGTATATTTTGTTGCATGCAGGAGCTACAGAGCGTTCTCATGTGTATTTTTTTTAATATTCTTGAAGATTTTATTATTTACTAATGTTCATGGTTTTTTTTTTTTTTTATTTCTTGGTTCTGATAGGTTTGTGCTGTGTCCACCACAACTTCTCCCCAGGGGCAATCAGGAGCACCTATGTCGTCTAATCAGATCAAGTACTATGAACTTTTGGCACGGTATTATGTCTTGAAGCGGCAACATATGCTAGCAGCTCATGCATTGCTAAGATTAGCTGAGAGGCGTTTTGTTGATGGAGTTCCTGCTTTGGAACAGAGGTTAATCAGTTTTTTTTTATTTTTGTTGCCCTTGTTCTTTTCCATTTTTACTTTTCCTTTGCTGCTTGTAGTTTTCTCAGTTATTTACTTTATTGCTGCAAATGTGGTTGGGAAATGGGGCAGGCCAAACTTAAAGAAGCTTTTATATAGTAAATGGGTCTCATGTTGCTAATTTGTAATGCGTCTAAACCAAACTTTCTACCAATAATGAATGACAATATCATGTTTTGGGAAAATATTGTAAAATGCATTCTCACACATGGGGAAAAAAAACGCCAACGCCATGCAGAAGAAGTCCAATTAAGTGAAAAAAATAATTTTAGAAAAGAAATTTCTTTCACATTAATCAGGTTCACATTTGACCACTTGTACACTTGTATTTTCCTTGAAAGTGCATATTTTAAGCTGGGAACTGACCCTTGATCTTATCATATAGCTCCTGGAAACACTAGGAACTTTTGCTTGCATATTATCATTTGCCCTGCACACTGGAACTATTAACATTTGAGGTTATGAAGGATTATACTAGAGGCAGTAATTCAGGTCAAGCCTAAATAAGTTTGAAAAATCTTATTTAGGGCCAGGCTTAACAATTTAGGAAAAACCCTTTACTTTTGGCTTATTCGGGGTGCCAGGCTTAACAATTTAGGAAAAACCCTTTACTTTTGGCTTATTCGGGGTATCGATTGTATTTTCTTTTTTATAAAAAATGGATTAAAAACTAAGCCAGGTCCAGGTCAAGTACTTAACTCGCATCGCACTGCCACTCTTGCAAACTTTGATGGATTCGATGGTTTTGTACTCTGGCTGGAAGTACCTGTGACTATCCATTCTCGAGCTAGACATCATAGCAGAAAATACTGCGAAAACCTAGAATAATAAACTAGGCATTTAGCTAAAAATCAAACATTGACACTGAAGAAGATAATATAGATAAGAAAGAAGATATGGGTAGGATAGAATTTTCATTCAAAGGAAAGCTTCGTAATGGAAGAAAAGGGGTTTGGGAGCGAAGAGAGATGGGGGTTTTCAAATCGTTTTACCACTCACAGAGACACAGATTATTGAGGGGAAAGTCTTGTGTTTAGTGAGTTAATATGCCCTTGGTGTTTGCTCAAAACCACAAAAATGCCATTACTTTTTCCATTCAGTGAATAAGTAACAAAAAGTGATTGATTTGGTAAGAACTAACCAATAATATAGACAAAAGGACAAATCCCTTGGGAGAGAGCAAATCTGGAATTTAAGCTAGCCCTTTATTAATTTTTAAAGAAATTATCTTTCTAGCTTATGAGCTAGATATCCTTTATCAAAGGAAAAAACACTTTGTTGTTAAATTAAGAAATTAGCTATCCAAACTTTATTATTAATATTGATAGAATTTTTATGATTTATCTCATGTATTTAAGAGTATGTTGTTCTGTTTATATTGTTTGACAAATTTTAAGTTAAAAATTGAAATTGGTTCAAAAAAGAGAGAAAGGTAATTTTAAAAGGTTTGGGGTATTCGGGTGAACCCGAATAAGCTTGAAGCCCGAGAGTGTTAGAGGCAGACTTGGCTATATGGGTTTCTTTCTTTTCTTTTTTGTTGTTGTTGCTGTTGACATGTGCGGGTATTTTTAGCTCGATCCAAATGAACTCTGCTCGCATTGAGTCTGGACTGAGTAAATCCAACCTGCCCAAATTATCAGCTATTGGTTGTACATGAAAGATCCTTTTTTGGCTCTTTCTTTAGCCCTTTCTCTCTTGGTTTCTGACCCCTCATAAGCTCACTAAGTTCATAATGTTGCATGTTTTAGATGATATACAGACTGTGCCCATTCTTTTTTAATAATATTATCTCCTAAAATTGTCACAATAGTTTTGTGGAAACCTTGGTAATGTTATAGTTGTTTTGATCTGATTGCTCGGTTATCATATAATAGATTTTTATTTTTTGTCAAAATCAGGTTCCAATACCTGAGTAATGCAGTTTTACAGGCAAAGAGTGCTAGTAACAGTGATGGCTTGATTAGCTCTACTCGGGGTTCCATTGACAGTGGATTCCTAGATTTGCTTGAAGGGAAGCTTGCTGTTCTTCAGTTTCAAATAAAAATCAAAGAGGCATTGGAGGCTATTGCATCCAGATCAGAGGTTTCACCTGCAGTGTCTGATTCTGTCCCAAATGGTTTAGTTCCTGAAAGAAGTAACGCTGCTGATGCTAATATTGCAAATGCGGTGCGAGACAAAGCCATAGAGCTATCATCAGATGTAAAGAGTATAACACAATTATATAATGAATATGCTGTTCCTTTTGAGCTTTGGGAGGTAAATTATTTTCTCTTTTTGGTCATTATATAAGGTCTGTGCTGTTAGTTTCCTTGTTTGTTAGTTCAGAATTGTCTTATATTTTTATTAGCTTTGGTTGAAACTGTTATAATTTAAGTATCTGGGCTAACTGCTTTGCTCCTTGTTTGTTGTTATTATTATTTCAAAACTTGATAACAAACTACGATTAACTATTATTTCTCCTTTTAAACTTATTGTTCTAATTTTCGGGGATCCTTCCTCTATACCATCGATCTTTGTTAGAGTTTTAAAGATGTTCAGGATCAGGAGGAATGTGAAGCACTCATAATAATTCAATAAAGATCAAATTGCAAAATCCCCTAGCTATCTATGTTAATCATTAATCATTGATGAATTTTAGAGAAGTCATTTTGTTTAGATGCATTTTCGTTGGTTATATTATTGTATGTTGATTGATCTGCACGATTAAATGGTTAGTTATGTGGAAATGTGCATTTGTGGGCTAAGATATAAAATACTCCCTCTGGTCCCTATTATAGATCACCTTCTAGAGGCATTTTTTTGGTTCTTAATATAAGGCACACTATGGAGTATTAATTACGTTTTTTCCAATATTATCGCTATTTGAATTCATTAACTATGAGAGAGAATATAATACAAGTTTGAAAATTTTTCATTTAAATAGGAGTAAAATTGAAAGTTTATTATATTTTCAGATAAAGTTAATGACTTAACCACTTCTCTTTGGTTTTGGTGAGGTAGTTAGAGGTGCCTTACAATAGGGATTAGAGGAAGAATATGATTTGCATTGAAGAGTATATTATTTGGCTTAATTTTTGATGTCTTGCTCACGCAAATGTGGTTAAAAATATTTTGTTGACCAAGCACACGCCACTCAAATAATTTGAGGTTGTTTTTTATTTAAATATCTATAATCCCGGGGGGGGGGTTAAGGACAAAGCTGGCCAGTAGATGCATCATTTATTTTATTTTACCATTTCATGATACTAAACAAGATGCAGGAGAGTTCTAATTTCCTTTTTCTTTTCTCTTCTGTCAATTTCTCTCTTCTCTCATCAGATTAAATGAAGCTCTAGTTTTATCTGCAGTGGTTCAAGGTTTTTATTGTGAAAAGCCCATCATAATAACATGCCATATTGTTCTGAATAAACTTAATCAAATGTTCTTTTGACAGATTTTCTCATTTTCTACTTTTCTTGTTAGATATGCCTGGAGATGCTGTATTTTGCCAATTATTCCAGCGATGCTGACAGCAACATTTTAAGAGAAACTTGGGCTAGACTTATTGATCAAGCTCTTTCAAGAGGTGGCATTGCTGAAGCTTGCTCTGCACTCAAAAGGCTTGGTCCACGCATTTATCCAGGTGACGGAGCTGTTATACCACTTGACACGATCTGCCTTCACCTAGAGAAAGCTGCAATGGTATATCTTTTTCGAGTGTTTTATCAACTCCAATAATTTTTACCGTAAATCTAATTCTGCAATTATTATTTTTCCCTCCTGTTTTTTGGCAGGCTGCATTTCATATCTCAGAATTCTATCATAAAATTTTTTTATGTTCAATATTCATCTTGCATCATCATTTAGTAAAGGTGGAGTTTTTTCTGCAGGAGAGGTGGAGTTCAGGTGCTGAATCTGTGGGAGATGAAGATGTTGCAAGAGCCCTTCTTTCTGCTTGTAAAGGTGCTCCTGAACCAGTGTTGAACACATATGATCAATTATTATCAAACGGGGCTATTTTGCCTTCGCCAAACCTAAGATTAAGGATCCTGAGATCAGTACTAGTGGTACTTCGTGAGTGGGCAATGTCTGTAGTTGCACAGAGGATTGGTACCAGTACCACTGGGGCTTCCTTAATACTAGGCGGAGGATTCTCATTGGAGAGAACAGTTGTTAACCAAGGAGTTCGGGATAAGATTGCTAGTGCAGCAAACAGGTTGACTTCGTACATCTGTCTGTTCCTCTTAATTTTCCATATTTGGAGTATTTTCATCTTAACAACCTTATTGGCTTGTCATTGGCTGTCCCTTGTTTCCAATACATATACAATAATATATTGGAAGCTACCGATTTTTCAAATCTTTCATTTAAACTAGTTTTCATCTTTTTGAGAGAGCTGCTATGTTATTTAATTGCCCAATTTTGACGTTTGATTTGGTTCGGTTTTTGATATTGGTTTTCCCTCGTGATCGATTCAAAAAACCTTATTTCCGTATCACAATTTTTTTGGTGAATTTCATATTATATGCCTAAAGAACTCTACACAAGTATTTTCCTCTCATGCTGTTGGCTGCCCCAATCTCTAGATCATAGTTACTTGAAATTTTGGTATAGGCGATGCAGCCTTGGATTGATTGACTTCTTGTACACGCACAGGTATATGACTGAAGTGCGAAGATTGGCCCTGCCGCAGAGTCAGACGGAAGCTGTTTACAGAGGCTTTAAAGAACTTGAAGAATCACTCATAAGTCCTTATTCTTTTGATCGCTTTTGATCTCTGTTCCTTGTCAAGTTGTTGTATCAATTGCTCTCGTCAAATAATAAGTTTCTCGTTTTTCATATCAGATATAGCATGTGATGATGTGTATCAATTGCCTGTTCTATATTCGATCCAGTTTTGTAGGCTGCTCGGAAAAGCTTGTTTGAATGTATAATCCAAAACACTACGGAAATTATTTATCTCGCTTCTTTTCCATTAATCAACAACGTAGCTTGAGAATTAGTTCTCACTTTCGAAATTTAAGCCCGATGCGGTAGTATGGAATTGGAATTGTGGAAATGGAATTGAGAAAATAGTTTGTATGGTACAGTGGAGTTTTCTTTTTTGAGAATTCGGTTTCGTTAAAATTGGTAGAATTTACTTCTACCTTCATGTCCATGTAATTCTTTCTCATTTTTTTCATAAAAGGTGGCCCACCTTTGTACCCATGTTAAATGTTTTAAAACTTCATTTTCACTTTACTTTCCTCTTTCACTTTCACTTTTATAAAAAACTCTACTCTTGTAAAGAACCAAACAGGGCATTAGTTCATTTAAATTTGAAGAATCAAATCATCATTTTACTGGTTAGGATTTTTTTTTCCTTCGGCCTGTTCATTAAACACGTCAAGCAAGGCAAGCTTGTGAAACTAATAACTGGAAATTGTGCCCAGTGGGCCAATTCTAATAGAAGGGAGGGGTACTTAAATTATTAAAATGGTCTTAAAATAAAATTACAAATCTATCTCTATTTAAAAACAAAAATTTAAAAAATTGATATTTTAAGATTGCAAATAGGAGTGATTTTCGAAAAAGCTAATTGAAAGTTTATCTTTATATATAAAGCAATTAATATGTAGGATTATCAAATTGTTCTAGGAATTGATTGATATATAGAATTGGAGGATTACTTTTGTCCTAAATTATAAAATAATTTTATACAAGATTATGTATATTTATAAAATATAATAATAACGCTTTACAAATTTATTTTTTTAAAATAAAATAAAAAACTTTTAAAAACACTCCTACAAATTTAATTATTGTGTGATAAAATCATTTTAATTATTTCCACTTAAATGGTAATATTGAAAATATTTTATTATGAAATCCTATTTTCTCACATTGTTTTATATTTTAAGATAGTAAAATTCTTTTAAAATTATCTTATAAGTTGGGATAGAGGAAGTAATTATTGTAAAAATGATTATATAATTAAAAATAGGAAAAATATATCTAATGACTCTAAAGAGTTTTTATATCAAAGAATTGACATTAAAAATATGAAATTTCACTGCACTACCTAGGTATCCATCTAAAAAAAAAATTTCTTGAGAAAAACCCTAATTAACCCCAAGATTTTATGGATACATAAATGAGTTCATTTCGATTTTGACAAATAAATAAAGGTAATTAACAACAACTTATTTAGCAATAAACATTGCAGAAATTGATAACACATTTCATTGTACAAATATTGACCCTGCACAAACAAGTATTTATTCGGGTTTTGAAAAATAATCTTACGTAATTTATAACTATTCATTCGGAATTAACAAGTAATGATTAATTATAAAACATGTTTAATTATACATGTGTTAGCCCTACATAAACATGCATTCGTTCCAGTTTTGACAAGTAACCAAACATAATTAACAACAATCCATTTAGAATTAACTCGTGATTATAATTGATAGTATATATTTAATTGTACATGTATTGATTATATTTAAATAAATACTTATTTAGGTTTTAATAATTAATCATGCATAATTAACGACAATCCATTAGATTACTACATTTTATTAAATTTTAGGGATAATTAGATTTTTTTCATAAAATCTTATTTTTATATAGGTACGAAAAGGAATGTGGTGAAATTTCATATTTTTAAAGTACTTATTTAATACAAAAGCTCTACAATGGTCCTTAAATGATATTTTCACCTAAAAGTAACTTATTATATATTCTATTTATTTATTTCTTTCTTTCTAAAAACATGCCAACAATTAAGGCACAATCAATAATCATCAATTAATATAAAATATTACAAGGCAAAAAATTAATAAAATATTTAAACTCATAACTTTTTTTTGTTAAATTTTAAAAATCTCATCATCTAATAAAATAATTATTTACTTTCAAACTAACATTATTTTTTCGTATTTATTCTTATTAAATATATTATAATAAATATAAAATTATTATTAATAAAAGTATTTTTTTAAAAAAATAATGATTAAACCTTAAAAGATTAAAAATATTTTATATTTTTTAATATATAATTTTTTAAAAAATGTCTTATATTTTTAAATGGAAAGTAATAGTTTTATATAAATATATATATTTCTGATAGAAAGGGCAATTACGTAATCTCGTTTACAGTTTTTCAAGCCCCCGCCTGGCAGCAGATGAAAGATCTGTCACTTGATTAAAAACTTACCACTCTTTTTTTTTTTTTGAGTGAAAAAATTTATCAGTCTTAAATGCTCTTTAGAAAAAGAAATTGCAGAACAAACAGATAGCATACTTGAAATTCATGACAAGCAAATTATCCTCAGAAACCATAGGTTTCAATTTCAATAATATCTCATCTCAAATTTTGGATTTTGTCAGATCCGAGATTCGATTATCTATTATCTATCATCAGTTAACAATTATCCTATCCAATTCACATTCCAGGTCAATCAAAATCTCGAAAGTGGAAATTTTGGATTTTGTTTTGATCCCCTTCAGTAGGAGAAAAACCCTATAAAAATGTTTCGTCTGGAGCAGGAAAAGGTTCGAAAACGAATTTGATTTTTCCGTCGTCTGTTTTCTCAATTGAGGAGTTTCTCACCTGAGGCCGTCGACATGGCCGACGCTCTCTCGGTAATTCCTAATGCTGTGCTCCGCAACCTTGCTGACAAGCTCTATGAGAAGCGCAAGAATGCTGCTCTTGAGGTTTCTACTCAATCCTGGCACATCTCGATTTTTTTTTTTCCTTTTACAAGTTGATGAATTTTGGAGTTTAGGTTTTGGGTGGGTTTGTTTGGCTCTAGTTTATTATATAGGTTCATATTGGTTTTTGGATAGGTTGAGGGGGTTGTAAAGCAGCTCGCTGCTGCTGGGGATCACGATAAAATCACGGCAGTGATCAATTTGTTGATTTCGGAATATACTTTCTCGCCACAAGCAAATCAACGGAAGGTGGGAGACAAATACTTTTTTTTTTTTTTTTGCCTTCGAGTTTTATGGTTGATTTCGTCATTGATTTTAGCCTGCCTTCAATTATATGTTCATGTTATAATAGTTAATACTTATTTTGATTTAATTTCTTACTGTAGGGAGGATTGATAGCACTAGCTGCCGTGACAGTTGGGTTGGCTAATGAAGCCTCTCAGCATCTCGAGGTGAGGGGTTGTTCCAAAGTTTGCGTCTACCAATTTGGATTTATATCCATCCAAGGTTGTTTATTGTGGCTTAGGCCTTGTGGTAAATTCGTGTGCACCAAAAGAGAGAGATAGGAACAAGGAAGGGAGAATATATGAAACCATTAAGATTCCTGTGAAATTGTATGGTTTAACACAAATGTATGTCAAATTTCTGCAGTGCAAGAATTGGGTAATTGAATCCTCAAATAGCGTTACATCTTGCTTTTGTATTCTCTCCACATTTAGGAGTAATCCGACTTACTGCGGTGATGGTTAGGCATTGAAGGGTTTGAATTATTTTGAGATGCCCAAAGCAAAAGTATATATAATGATTTTGTTCATAGTTTGATCCCCTGTTACTGTCAAATGTCAAATGCCTTTTTCATTTGTGAACAAGTCCAATGAAATTCTTGTTCATTGGCTTTTCAAAATATCTCATGCTGAGTTTAAATTTTTGTACCTCATACAGGTTGGTTGAAACTTCAACCTTTTGTGAATGGCAAATTTGAATCACTCTTGTTCATTTTGTGGCCTGTTTTCCTTACAACTATGTTCAACATGACGCAAGCATGGATATTAGCATTTACTGCTGGATATCTTAGTTTGACATGCTTCAGTGTATAAATTCTTTTTGTTTCATGCTTACCTACATATAATTCTTGTAGTCACTATGTTCAACATGAAGCATGCATGAATATTAGCATTTACTGCCATATATCTAAGTTTATATGCTTCAGCTTATAAATTCTTTTTGTTTCTATTCTTACCTACATATAATTCTTGCACTCTGGCAGCAAATCGTGCCCCCAGTGTTGAAGTCTTTCTGTGATCAAGATAGCAGAGTTCGTTATTATGCTTGTGAAGCACTTTACAACATTGCCAAGGTTAGGATTTGATTACAGTGATCCATGCATTACAGTTTCATTCTGGTCATCCAGTGACTCTAATGCTTGTCTTTTCCTGATTTCAGGTTGTGAGAGGGGAATTTATTGTATTCTTTAATCAGATCTTTGATGCCTTATGCAAGCTTTCTGCAGACTCAGATGCTAATGTACAAAGTGCTGCTCATCTCCTGGATCGGCTTGTGAAGGTATATGGTCTAAATTTCAATATGGTTCTGATGACTTCACATATGGGTACATGACATTTTCTGAAAATTAAACTTTCCTATATTGAAACAGGATATTGTGACTGAAAGTGATCAGTTTAGGTGACTATACTCCTGCTTCTATGTTATATATTGTATCTAGCAGTCTACATTTGGCAAAAGAATTTCAGATGCATAGATTCTGATGCAACTTGCATTGCTTCACACCCCTCCTGTTTTCCTTCCTTACGTTCAGTATTGAAGAATTTATACCATTGCTGAGGGAGCGCATGAATGTCCTGAATCCATATGTTCGTCAGTTTTTGGTTGGATGGATTACTGTGTTGGACAGTGTCCCAGATATTGATATGCTGGGCTTTCTTCCTGATTTTCTTGATGGTAAACTCTTCATCATTTGAAGGTTGAGAATTTTATAATTTTCTGAAAGTGTATGTTATTCTGCTAAGAATATGTAACCTTGTCAGGTTTGTTTAATATGTTGAGTGATCCTAGTCATGAAATTCGTCAGCAAGCTGATTCAGCTCTTTCTGAGTTTCTTCAAGAGATTAAGAACTCCCAAGTAAGGCATCAACTAGTGTAATTTTTTTTTTTTTTTGCTTTATGTTTGAGCAGTAAGGGTTTTGCCAACATTCAGAATTCAATTATGCTTATTTATGGTCATTGGTTTTCCTTGATAGTTGTCTGAGGAATATGTATTGCAGCCATTATTAGGTCTACTGTGCTTTGAAGCTATTTTATCCTTCCATATTGACACTTGCAAAATTTTTTGTTCATTTGTCATTTTCTGACTCGAGCAGTGCTACTCTTGAAGTCTGTAGATTATGGTCGCATGGCTGAAATACTGGTTCAGAGGGCAGGATCTCCAGATGAATTTACTAGATTAACAGCTATCACATGGGTAAGTGGTATTGGGAGTGTAAAACTTTTTAGACTATTCTTTAGTGTTATCTTGATGCTTATTGTTGGCAGTCCTGTCTAACGATGTTATGTTTCAGTGTTATTCATCATTATTTTATTTCAATCACATGTTCTTTCTTTTTGTAACAGATAAATGAGTTTGTCAAACTTGGTGGAGATCAGCTTGTTCCATATTATGCTGACATTCTTGGGGCCATTCTGCCTTGCATATCTGATAAAGAAGAGAAAATTCGAGTGGTAGCTTTACTATACCCTATTTTTGCCCTGGGTTTCTTTTCTTTTTATTCCTTTCTTTTCCCTTGGGTTCATTAACCTGCTATAGAAATGACAGCCTTGAAATAATATCTGGCTTATGTATAAGGTTGCTCGTGAAACCAATGAAGAACTACGGGCAATCAAGGCTGATCCGGCAGAAGCATTTGATGTAGGAGCAATCCTGTCTGTTGCTAGGAGGTGTAGTTTTTTTAACTTGGGGAAAAGTCTAGGTTTGAATTTTGAAATACTTGCTAATAGAAAATTATGAATGTTAATCTTGCTCTGAGCACATAAGAAGCTAGTGGAATTAAAGTGATAGCTAGGGTCCTTTTTGTTTGGGCAAAAACAAGTTGCACTGAGTTTTGTGATGGTTTGACTGAACAGACAATTATCAAGTGAATATGAAGCTACTCGAATTGAGGGTTTGCATTGGATATCAACTCTTTTAAACAGATATCGTGCTGAGGTGACTGGATTGTTGGAATTCATCTTTCATTTTGACATATTAAGAAGCCCTGTAAATTTGTAGACTTGACATACTTTCTTGTTATGCCCCTTGAAGTCTAAGCTATAAAGCTCATATACATACCTACTAATTTGTTTATATGGACTTTGGAGGCAATCTGCTGCCAATGCCCTATAAAATGTAATGGGTTCTTGATTGGGTTGGGAGAGCTATGATTTGTTTTTTTTTTTTTTTGTGTGGATGCTAGTTGGCTGTAACCAGTGGACTATGTGATTCAGTTGCTTTTATACTTGTACATCTTTCCCAAGAATAAATGAGATGAAGCGTATGCTTTCCTTCCAATATACATGCGATTAAGGTGTAGAATGGCAATTATTTGACCTTTTGAAAGTCTTAATGATACTACTTTTTCCAATTTCCGGTCCAATTAAGAAAATATCAGGTAACTTTGTTATTCCTTCTTAAATTATGTTGAGGGGCCTGCTGATGGAGGAGGTAAAAGGATCATTTATGTTCAAACCGCTAATAATTATGATGACATGACTGTCAGAATGCATACAATTTTTTTGTCTAACCTTACAATTTATTGGATATCTGTTTATTTTTTTCCTTTAAACTTTGTGCAAATTTAATTTTCTTGATCTCAACCCCTTCTCTAAGTATTAATATGCACCATTCTAGAAATTTTTATATCAATAAGATTATGATAATTTTGTATCTATTTGTTGACTTCTCATGTCAAACAACAGGTTTTGACATTTCTGGATGATATATTTGACACCTTATTGAAAGCACTTTCAGATCCATCCAATGAGGTAGTTCTATTATCATGATAGCATTGTTCTCTCTCTGGGATTGGATAGACAGCATTGTTTCTCTTTGTTTCATGAAATTATATATTCTTAGGATCTCTGAGCTATTGCTGATGAAATTGTGGTTTTCACTATGCATCTATTTTGAAGATAATTTACTGGTTATATGATTTCAACTTAACACATTCAAGTTACACATGTATATATTAGTATATTTAGCAGAAGATGCTTTTGAAAATGTATTTTTTGTTATCCAAATGATCATGACCAGCCTTGGATGTTGATGCAAGAATGTGGAGTGGCCTAGCGATTCCACTGCAAGATATAAATATTCCTTCTTGACCTTAGTAGGCTTAACCATAATTTTTTTATTAATTTCCTCTTATTCTTGTATGCTGTTAACCTATGGAGATTTTAGTAGTTTTTTTTTTTTAATTTGTTGCTTATTTATAACAGTTTTGCTTATGACTAGGTTGTGCTTCTAGTTCTTGATGTTCATGCATGCATTGCAAAGGATTCTCAGCACTTTCGACAGCTTGTTGTTTTCCTAGTGTACAATTTCCGGGTAGATAATTCTCTTTTGGAGAGGTAGTTTTCCTTTTTTTCTTCATTTGATTGATTTATTCACATGATTATATAATTTTACTGAAATGTTTTAGCATGAATATTTATTCCTTTTTCTCTTTGAAAAATTTAAATCTTAGGCGTGGTGCTTTGATAATCCGTCGGCTTTGTGTGCTTTTGAATGCTGAAAGAGTCTACCGTGAACTATCTACAATATTAGAAGGGGAATCTGATTTGGATTTTGCATCAATTATGGTTCAGGTCAGTATTGACTTGTCTGAGAGCTTAATTAAATTTGTAGCATTTTTGACCAACTCTAGTAATTTTTTTTCATGGTTTTATATCCCTCTTTTTTCCCCATAATTTCAGGCATTGAATTTGATCTTACTCACTTCATCGGAATTATCTGAACTTCGAGATCTTTTAAAACAGTCGCTAATAAATCCTGCTGGAAAGGATCTATATGTTTCCTTGTACGCCTCATGGTGCCATTCTCCAATGGCAATTATAAGTCTCTGTTTATTAGCTCAGGTTGGCTTCTACAACTCGGTTATGATCAAAAGTTTCCAATTCAAGTCTCTTTCTAGTGCACATGTTTACACAAATATACTGTGCATCCCATTTGTGTTTTTCGTTGTCTGCTTATATTTTATGGCTTGTGTTTTGCAATATAATTCCCTGTCTTCTGAACAGACATATCAACATGCAAGTGCTGTGATTCAATCTCTTGTGGAGGAGGACATTAATGTTAAATTTTTGGTTCAACTGGATAAGTTGGTTCGCTTGCTGGAAACTCCAATCTTTGCATATCTTAGATTGCAGGTGCTAGATCAAACCATGTTTCATCTTAACTTACGTCTTTGGTCCTATGTCTAGTAGAATATGATTAAAATGGAGATGTTGTTTGTTTCTGTGTGATTGATGCTAAGCCAGTTAGTAATTTCTCAGTATTTTCTGCTCCTATATATAAACTACTTTCTGTCCCCTGTAATTTATTCTGTGAATTAGTTATCTTTCCGCATGACTTTTGTGTTTTTTTTTTGGTTTGTTTTTTTTTTTTTAATATGGTGGTTAAATGTTGGCATGTTTCAGGCGATACCTTGAAAGAAAGACTTACCATTTAGTCCATGATTAACGCACTCCTGCAACATTATTTCTTTTTAATTACTGTATCTTTATTACTTTTTTAAATTAAAAAATGGATATTTGACTTCATTAGTAGGATGATTGGTTGGCACTTCTATGTAGCATAGTCCAGCCCAGTTCAGTTAAGGCATCCTTTGCTTGGGTTTTTTCTTTGTAACTCAATTTTCTTTCTAATGATGCCCTTCACGTGGCAATTTTGGCTGGGTTTTTCTCTGTTCCTCTTTGAAACGATAAGAAATTCAGAACAATGTGACAAAATTTGATGTTAGAATATTTGTTCCTTGCATTGTCAATTATACCTCCTGATCCTCATTTGGCATGCTTTTATTATTTAATATAGTTCGAATAACTTAATTTGTACAGGATGGATCTAGATAATTATTATCCTTTTTTTTCGATTTTGCAGCTTCTTGAACCTGGAAAACATGTATGGTTATTTAAAGCATTGTACGGTCTTTTGATGTTGCTTCCTCAGGTCTGTTCAAGTAACTTTTACTATTTTTTACCACTCAATTTATAGATTATAGAAGCATTTACTTGTAAGGCTGCAGCCATATTCCCTTTTTTTTTTTCAGGAGGGCATTTCTTTGACTTCTGACATTGCTCACATTTATTTCATGTTTTATTTGGGAACATCTATCAACAAGGCATAATGTGCCTTGTCTTTTCACGATATTGTTATGATCAACCGTTCAATCTGATTGTTTCACTGACATGCGCTTGCTACATTTTGGTGAAAATCTGGATTATCTTGTTACCAAACATATATAATTATATATACAAACATAAAAGTTGCCTGTAATAATTTGATCTGTGTTGCTGAACCATTGCATCTGGTTATTATCTGCAATTGTTCAAGTGTTGATACCTTGATGTGCTTTGTATTTGTAAACTCATGTTTCTTTTAAATATTGCACCTGTAATTTTATTCACAATTTTGCGCTGGGCTGTTTACTTTTAGCCATTCAAAAGTCTGTGATGCTGATGGCATTGACATGGTTGTTTAACATGTAATCTTTAACGTATTGCTGACTGCCTTATGCGATACCTTTTGTGAGTGTGTCTGCGTAAATTTATCTACCATAAGTAAGTGTTCTATGTGTAAATTAATGTTAACCTTATACTGATTGCTTTTATTTTTATTTATTTTCTTTTTAACTATACCTTTAATACCATATTCCAGCAAAGTGCTGCCTTCAAGATACTGAAAACTCGTTTAAAAGCCGTGCCATCATATTCTTTCAATGGGGAACAAATGAAGAGAACATCATCTGGGAATCCTTACCAAATTCTTCATCAAATGTCTGGATCTCAAGCTATTGAGGATGGCGATATAACTGTCGATGGTGGGAAATCACATAATGGAATCAATTTTGGGGCAAGGCTGCAACAGTTTGAAAAAATGCAGTACCGGCATCGCTTGCATGCTAAAGCACAAGCGCAGCTGCGCAATAATTCCACATCATTATCAAAGGAGGTTGACCTCTTCCTTCTGTCTTTTACATTGTTTTCTCTACATTTCTATTAAAAAATTTTGTGGCCGGAATACGTATACGTTAGAGGTTTGGAATGAAGAGAGCCTGGACTGGAACCATAATGGTGTTGAGCTTCTCTGTTCTCTGATGCTATTTATCATATATTCACATACTAGTGTTGAACTTGTTTCCATGAATTCATATACTTCAACACCCTGGTTTATATGCGTGTGTATGCGTGCACGCATAAGAGTTCCCTGTGTCCATGTGTTATCTTGCCCTTGCTTTTCTGCTTTTGTCTGTTGTCTGATCCCATTACTGGTACTTGATGCAGGGTTCCCAATCACAAAGACAGGAAGAAGAACCGAGGCGATTTCAGTCATCTGACCTTAATGCTCCTCCTTTAAGATCATCACAGAAAGGCTCCGGCCAGCATCAACTATAATGTTAGTTAGTTAATTAATTAATGTTTCTGCTCATTTAGAGTCTTACCGTGCACAGATCTCACTGGGTATGTGAAGTTTGAGCGGGATTGGGTGTAAAGTTAACCTGTAAAATTGTAAATTTATAGCAGCTGCCTCTTTCTGCCAATAGAGGTTGAGATGGTGGTGAAATTGGAAGCTTGGGCATTACCGGGGATATTCTTTTGAAACCAGAGATTCCCACGTGGTCGTGTTATTATTGTTATTGTTATTTTTTATATGAAAACCATGTGGGCTAGTGGGAATGGTTCTTATTGCCAGAAGTTGCATATTGTTTACTTGTTCACTGTCTACCACCATCTTACAATATACTTGCAATAATTGGTATCGTGTCTCGTTTTGAACCCCCACCTTCCCATTGCCTTTCTCTTCCTCCCCGTTTTCTACTATTTGGTCATAAAGGTTATAGCTGTTTAACTGAGATTTTGAATTTGAGTCTCTCTGTATTTAAAAGACACGATTAAGAGGGTTATTCTTATTTGGATTTGACAAGTATCAAATTTAACACGGTAATGTTGGATATCGGATATTATATTAAGAAAAAAGAAAAAAAAGAGAAAGAAGCAATCTCCCAAAGTTTTCTTTTTCATTAATTTGCTTTTGCCGTTCCAAATCTATATTCTATTCCATTTATCGAAATCTTTTTTTTTTTTTTAATTGAGAGAAGGGAAAAAACCTAACTGCATGTTGCCAACCTCTTCTAGGAGTCGACAGAATCCTCTCCGATGTTTCAGTTAGCCTAAATCGATGCCACTAGTAGCTACCCTTTGAAATGTACTCTTTTAATTCTATTTATAGAGTAGAGAGGGAAGAAAAAGCTTAATCCTAGTTATAGGACATTTGTTAATTTTTAATATTTATCTTTATATATTTACTTTTATTAAATGTTTTAAATAAAAATATTAATAATGAGATTCAAAATATTTATTATGGGTAAAGGTAAAAATTTATTAAATTTTAAAATAAAGTTAATAAATTTAAGGCTTCTCTTGGTAAAATATATTAAAGTAATTTATAAATAGGATGAAAGAAAAAAACCTCATACCATAATCCATCATCATCTATGGTTCTTAAAAGATTATTACATTCATCATAAGAAAAATGATGACGTTAATTTGGCGCCTCTTTAATGCTTCTCAATGGTTGGTTGGTCAGCACATGAGAACAATAATTATTCTAATACTATGGTGACTTTCCTGAGGAAAAATAACAAATAACTCCTAAGTAAACAAATTGATTGTTAATAGGTTTTGTGAATTTAAGTTCCTAAAGAACTTGTGCTAAAACACATATAATAAGTTTTAATTATTGAAGTTTCACTTGTAATATCACAAGAAGACTTGTAAATAATTCTCAATTAAACTCTAATCCCTATAATTAAAAAAATTACCATTTTTCTGATATTTATGGGTCAAACTTAAAAATTTTAAAATTATTTTTATACAAATTTTTCAGATGGCTTATTAGTACTGAGTTAAATTTAGGAGACTTGGGACCTGTTAATAATTAATTTAGGGTTAAGTATTATTGTTGCTCTTCAACTTCACCAAAAAGTCAATGAACATTTTAAATTTAACTGTGAATTAATTTTATCTTTTAATATTAAGGATTCTCTTCTCCATTACTTGGATTACCTATTTAAATTATATAACGTGCTTTTTTTACCCCCGGTAGAGCTATAGCGTGTTGTTGCTGCACTATGAGGTGAAAAGGACAATACTTTCACCTTCTCAGACAGCTAAAAGGACACCAAAAGATAATATAAATAGCAGCCCAATACTACCAAGGGAAGAATATACCTTCTCCCTCATCCAACTCTTTAGATTTGGAAAAGGGCAAATGAACTCATTTATTAACATTAGGATCTTACCAATTTTTTATTCGGTCAATTTTCTTGTCAATTATAAGAAAGGAAGAATGAAGAATCTTATCTAAAAAAAAAAAAAAGTTAAAAGAAGCATGGGAAGAAGAGAGTTCCATATACGTCTTTTTTGTCATTCCCAATAAATATCCTTTGTTCACCATGTTAGCAACAAGCCTATGTAACAAAAATCCCCCTCACCTCATGATCAATAATTAGGACTAAAGTTGGTTTAGCTAGTACAAGACTAATTTATATCTCACAAAATTAAGACCGTGTTTGGGAGATGATTTATAAGCATATCTGCAAGTACTTTTTGAATTATGAGATCCATTTTAAATTTAATTAATTCTCAAGGTTCAGCTTACTTAAGCTTTCTCTTTATTAAAAAAAAAAACAGCAAAAGTTGGGTTTATTAATAAAAATTATTTAACAATTTTCAATAGATTTTTAAGTGCAGCTTACAAAAGATAGAAACCTTTAATTTAACGTAAAAGGCACATAGATACATATGAAAGTCTCGCTTAAAATGACACTAATCATATTAGGCTCTCAAAAAAAAATTTTGACACAAGATTATATCTACTAATAGCATACCAAGTATTGGACAACCTTTTCATTCTTTCATACACATAAACCTACTTCCAAGTCTTGCTCAACACTAGTGATGAATAAAACAAGCCAAATTTCTTACTGCCTAACAAAGTGACTTTAAGAGAGATGATCTAAAAAAAAAAATCAATACACCAAATTAATCAAAGATAGAAACCTTTAATCTAACGTAAAAGGCACATAGATACATATCAAAGTCTCATTTAAAATGACACTAATCATAATAGGGTCTCAAAAAAAAAAAATTGACACAAGATTATATCTACTAACAGCATACCAAGCATTGGACAACCTTTTCATTCTTTCATATACATAAACCTACTTCCAAGTCTTACTCAACACTAGTGATGAATAAACCAAGCCAAACTTTTTACTGTGTAACAAAGAGACTTTAAGAGAGATGATCTAAAAAAAAAATCAATACACCAAATTAATCAAAGATAGAAACATAAAACTACTCAAAGTAGATACTCTTTGCATATCTTCTACCTAAAAATTTCTAATGACTATTTTCACTTGAAAAAAACTGAAGTGGAAGGGTAAGTTCAAGTTCTATAAGGAAGAAACAGGATTGCTCTGTGGTGAACCATTTGGTCTAAAGAGCACAGATCTTCTCCATGTCAGAATCATATTCCTCCAAATCTGATATCTTCGCGGAGTAAGACCATGAAAAAGACTTGCTCCCACTTGCTCGCTTGATGCGTCTACGTGAATCGCTGCAGAAAGTAATCCCAAAATGTTGTCTAAACACAAAGTAGCACAAGCTTGCTAGGGTCCCAACTAGAATTGGTGCTCCAAAAATAGTTACGGTGATAGCCATCCATGTTTGATCTCCAACAACAGCAAAAGCTATTGCAAGAAAAGCCCCACAAGTGCAGATACACGCAGCCCACATCATCTTGTTCACCACTGACACGACCTGCTTTTGAGGCCCCAGTGTCCCAGGCTACCAAAGTGATTTGAACTACAACAACAGCTAGAGAAATGAAGAGAGATGTAGCATTTAGAAGGCAAAAAACTCTGAAAGCAGCCTTATCAGCTACGTGAGCCTTCCCTGCCTCGGGTCCATCCGTTAGATATTGACCAGGAAGATTGAAGATGGCCAAGAATCCTATTGAGGCAAAAAGAACAGCAACAACTGTGACAGAATTGATGGTGTTTTGAACTGCTTCTCTGTGAAGTTTTTTCAGTTCCTTGGCAATACCAGACACTCTTCTCCGAGTTGTTTCATTTTGTATGAGCTGTGATTGAACCTCATGCTTTATATCACTCACAGTTTCTTTTGAGTTCCATAGCTTCATCCACTTTGCCTACTTGCCTGGCATACCTGGCACCACAGTCTTCAAGAGACTCCTTGATTTCCAAAGCTGTAGCTCCATACTGCAGTTTATCTGCCAAATCCAATGCTGTTTCCTGCTGATTATTGATGGCGTTCACATCCATAGCTTTGTAGATTAGCAAAAGGCTTACTATCTGATACAGAAAACCATGTGTGATTGAGGCCGATAAAGAACAGGAGCGAAACATCATTGCAAGGAAAAATCATATGGCTCAAGGACAATTTGGGAATTAACAAATGCATGCATAGTTTTGTTAAGACCACACATGTTAAATCTACATAACCCATTCCTCATGACTTATGAGCCGAGGCAAAAGGTATAATCTGAAATCAAACTAGGGCAGACATGGTGGCATGAAGTGAAGCTACAGCAGGATCATGCACAGGAGATAGCCCATCACATACAATTATATAACCATTGGAAAGATCGGATTGATTGATAAACGAAAGGAAAAACATGGTGACAAGTCGACAAGTAAGGTCGAATGAAATGTGAAATTGACCTGTGAACGGCCTTTACGTATAGCTATGTGTAGAGCTGTATTACCCTTCTTATCACGTTCATTCAGAATAGAGGCATCAGCTTGTAATATCTCCTCAACCACTGAGGGATTCTGTCCTTTTACAGCCATATGGAGTGCAGTTTGACCTTTTTTATCTTTGATGCAGACTATTGCTGGATCTCGTTCAATGAGTTCTTTCACAATCCAAAGGAGGCCATACCTAGCAACATTATGCAAAGCAGTTTTTCCATTTTTCCTGACAATCATCATTGAACTAACATCAATATCCAGGATAGCATTCACCACGTCCAAATTGTCTTGAACAGCAGCTGAATACAAGGGGCTAGTGTTTGAGGAGTCACATAACTTGCAAACTTCAGGCCAAGTACGCAAAAACTCCCTCACAATATCTGGAAAAGATTGATCAAATGCATCATAATTGAAATCGTTTATTCTCAACAACTACCAAGAAACAAGTATCAATATTACTTATTGTTCTGACTTGTGTATTCTTATAAACTCGGGGTACAAACTGCAACTATCCTAGTATCATAAAAACTTATTTATGAGAGTCACTTTTGTAAGTAATGCTGACTTAAACCCCGCATGCATTCATGACTGTCCTTGATATTTCAGAGAAGATTATAAAAGAAAAAAAAAAAAAAACAAACACACCAAAGAGAACATCCTCGTTTTGCTCAAGTGAAAATTCACAGTTAACCGAAAATGTCAAATGAATCTGAAACCAGCATTAAGAAACTCACCAGCATCGTTCTGTAGGGACATGAGATCAGAAAGCGAGGACCTATCTGAAGATTCTGGCTGTTTCAACAGGTCAGGATATGCTTGAGCCCATCAAGGTCACCAGACCGAACGGTCGAGAAAAATTCAAGTCGTCTTCTAATAAAACCGGGAGATATGGAGAGGGGATTTTTAACTATTGATAAGGATTACTTGCAGATGAAGTCTCCCTTACTTTTTTTGCATTCTGTGAAACTTTGTTTTCTGGTCCATCCC